CTACAGAAACCGGGATAAGCTCTGGCCTGATGGGCCACTTGGCTCGCATGCAGACTTTACCTTACCTTACAGCCAGTGAGGCATCACAGCAACTGTTCATTGCTACTGAGTACTATTTATTTGCACGGATATTATTAATACACAGTCGTGAGGTTCTCTGAGGGGAAGATACATCATGTTTAGTTTCTTTTTTGCTCCCTATTTGTAAATTCTACTCTTACCAAAACTATGTTTCCAAAGTTCCCGTTAATACAAAACTTAAAAGTAGACTCTTCCCTTAGTTCCTCACAATAATTAACCTAAAAAACCATTCCCTTAAAAAAATAAATGATGTTATTTACTTGTTTCCCAAACGCCCCTGGGAACCAACTAAAACAAAACCGAAACATTACCAAGTTTGTCAACGTTTTTATTAACCAGCTTAAATATTTCAAAAATAGATGAGTAACCAGGATAAGACATTTCGAAAAATAGAAAAACGATCTCTGGTTAAAAATTTTTGTTTAAAACGAGCTTTCGACTACCAGTCTGTAGTCTTTAACGAGTAATAGAACTAGACAAAAAGCGCGAACGTTAAAATATATACTGAGGAAAGTGTGAAAAAACAAAATTATAATAAAAAACAATAGAAATGCTTGTGTGCGTGTAAAAATGCTAATGTGAGGTTCAAAATAAAATTGAATATTGTCTTGGTAATTGTTCCGCATTATTGCCAGTATAGTTCGTAATTGCTATGTGCCAGGATTCCAGAGTTTTTCTAACACGGAGATTTCCCTTGTCAATCACGCGTGCATTGTCAAAGTCGATGGAATGGTCGTTTCACCAGGCATGTGAAGCAATGTTCGAACCTTTTTTAAAGGTTTTTGTGTTTCTAATATGTTCTTTCTTCCTTGTTTGTAAACATCTACCAGTCTCGCCGATATAGCTCCACGGACAATCGGCGCATGGGATCTTGTAAACGACATTTGTTTGTAGTTCCGCGGGTGGTCTTGATTTCGGAGGTACAAACTCTTGTTGTAATGTCTTAAGGAGTCTGCTTGTAATTTGTATTCCATTGTTTCTTAGAAGTCTTGAGGGAGGTTCAGTTAGGCCTTTGATGTAAGCGTAAGCAATTACACCTTACAACGTTTTGTTCATATGCATTTAAGCATGCCATAGATGGCAAAGGCTTCCATGTTTTGGTTTCAATATCAAAGTACTGTATCTGCGTCGAAGGGAGAATGGCAACAAGAACCTGAAACCAGATTGAAAGATAAGGTGTACTAAGTATATTTTGAATATACGTGAATTTGTTCTGCATTGAATATTTATCAGGATAAGACTTGGGTATGCTGGTGAACTTTGAACATGCTGTCAATGTATTGCGTAGTCTGAGATTTGGAAACTTTTAGGGACTCCTGTGGGCACATAGCCATGAGTGTATTTGGAATCCTCTAACACGTATAGGCCCTCGGCAAAACAAAGCTAACACACGTGAAGGTGGTCGAGTTTGCGTGACCATACTACTGCCACGTT